ACACACACACACACGCACACACACACGCACACACACACACACACACAACACAACACAGCCCGGCTTCCTTCCTTCATTCACAAATAATGGCAAGCTCCGAGCTCCTGCTATTCACATGCTGACTGCTGCTGCACCGTCACCACAGCTCTGATGGAGGGATTATTTTTTATTTTTGGAGGGGGGCTATATGCACAGGCCCGGACTGACATGCATGTGTGTGTGTGTGTGTGTGTGTGTGTGTGTGTGTGTGTGTGTGTGTGTGTGTCTGTGCGGGCGCGCAAAATATAAAGAAACCTCACCTTCAGCGTCGTGTTCGGATAGCTCACGGGCACCTTATGGAAGGTGCTGTTGGAGAGCACCGCCTGCCCGATGTCCTCGAAGATGGTGACGATGTCGTCCAGGAGGCAGCGCTTGTCCCGGTGCCTCAGCACGCAGAGGTGCGCGAACGTGTAATTGAACCCTTTGTAATTGACGCGCAGGTCCAGCACCTGCTTGTGGACCCGCAGGACCTGGTCGGCGAGCTCCAGGATGTTCCCCCCGGACCCGGCGAGCAGGATGAGCCTGCCGTATCTGCCCGGCGTGTGCAGATCCGAGTACAGCTTGTGCTTCGACTGGTCGATGGGGAACAAGCTGTTGGCGAGACTGCGCTCGATCTTGGCGAGGCTGTGGGTCGGCGCGACCAGCACCTCCAAGTCCGTCTCCGGCGTGAATCGGCTGAGCACTGTGGAGCCGAAGATGATGGTGAGGACCGCGGGGACGGTGAGGAAGAACACGGGGTGCCTGCTAACGAATAAGCCCAGCCAGTAGAACGAAGCCTTGAGCCCTCTGTGGATCACTTGCCGCAGCATCCTCCACAAAATCCCGCTCGCAGATGCCCCGTCTCCTCCAATGAAGCACATGTGACATCAGATTCCGTCCCCCCCACCCCCCCCCCCGGCTTAGTCCAATTCGTTAAGAGATTTACACCAGGCTACACCGCCGCTTACGCACGCACACACGCGCACGCACTCACTCGCACACACACATATCGCAACACCTGGAAAAAAGAAAAAAAAACAGCACTGCAGCAATTCGCGGCAAGACGGACGGACGCACACACACGCGCACATACACACACGCGCACGCATGCACACACACACACGCACACACACACACACACACACAGTCAGAGAGCCATCGCACATCAGCCGATCGAGATCGAGTCCGCGTTGTCTGATTCTCAAGCCATTCCGCCTCCTCCCGCGTGTTATGGGGGGGGGGGGGGCGGAGGGGGGAGAAGAAGAGACGCTCCGCGAGTCCTCTCCTTCCCCGCACGCACCGGCTGCAGTGGCAGCGACGAGCCGCGGCGGCGTGAAGTGCATTCGTGTGCCTCCCGTCTACAGCCCTCTCACACACACCGGCAGTGGCGCCTGATTCATGTACTTAACTGTAACCATGTGGTAGGGTTGAGGGGGGGGGGGGGGGGGGGGGAGAGGGGGGGGGGGGTGATGCTGCCTGGTTATTTTAAGAACAGTGGAGGCAACATGATAGTTGTTCAAATGTGCCAGCTGCTGGTGGCTGAGTGACCAAAAGCTGCACAGGGATGAGTTAGTGGGTTGGCTTTGTGAATTGACAGGACCAGCAATTTCTTTTTTCACCATCACAACTAAATGCCTAACTCCAACCATTTATTCTAACCTGCACATTAAAGACACGTCTGGACCCTCAGACCTTTGAAGAAGTGAGGACTGGCAAAACATATCCTCACTTTACAAACAATGTCTCTGAAGAAAAATCAAGTTAGTCTTTACAAAGACTGCTGTACTGTCACGATCAGGCTTTGCCCTGTGTGTTCTGTGTCTTTGTTTCTTTCTGTAGCTCCTCACTCGCCTAATCAGTTCATTCAGTGCATCTGCCAGTCACACTCACCTCATCAGCTCATTACTCTAACCTGCTCACTCTGCCTCCTTCACTATTTAAACCCCTGCCGCACACACACCCACTGCCAGATCATTGTTTGTTTTCCTACCTACCCGCCCGCCCATTTTGCTCATCCTGTTCCCGGTTTTCCAGTCTGCCTGTTCTGCCTTTTCCTGCCGGATTTTCCCCCTTGTCTTTTGTCTTGTCCCTGGATTCCCTGTTTGTTTTTGGTTATCATTAAAACCTTTTCCACTACACCTGACTGTCTGCGTTTGAGTCCTCATCATGCCCCGTGACATGTACGAGTACATTCAAACACACACACGGACACTAAACCCTGTACTTCCTGAGGAAACTCGTATGGACATAATGCATTCCATAGCCCCTTCACCCAACCTCACTACTAAATGCCCGACCCCCAACTCTCACCCTAACCCTAAATTGAACCCAAAAGCCAAGTCTAAAACCCTCAAACCGGCCTTATAGAAGAAGTGTGGACCAACACGTCCTCACTACACAAAATAATGTACTCACTCAGAAGGTCTAAAACTCCAAATGGTACTCACAAAAATAGCTGAAAAGTACACATACGTACCTCTTAAACCCCGGGTGGTTATTACCACCTCTGTTAATACTGGGACCTACGGGAGTCTAGAACCCCCTACAGTCGATGCAAGCCCATCAAATGTAACATCAATGTTTGTATTCATACATTTTTTTCTACGAAGTTACTGGCGATGATGAAATTATTTCAACATTGTTATTTGCTTTATAAAAACCCAAATGGTCTGTCAGACTGTCTTAGTCAATCAAGTAAGTTTTGCGTGCCGACGTTGTAGTGATGCTCCATCGACTGTGCTTTTGTCACTAAAGGGAACACGTGTATGTATGTATATGGTAGCCTACAGCCTAGTCTTGACTAAATTCCCTGTCTTACAGTATTCATTGCCGTTGTAAAAATGGTATAATGTCCCTTAGGCCACCTTTCAGATGTGCAAGGTCTTACAGCAGAGATAAAAATGAGTAATTAGTATTGTTCATTTACTCCAAATGAGAGCATCACTTACTAAATGAACATCATGCTGTATTGGAGAAGACTTGAAACTAGAGATTGAGACCATAAACTCATGTTTACAATGTTTACTGAGGTAATGAATCATGTGAGGCGTAAAGTAATTTCCCCATAGAATTCTATGCAATTTGACCTTTTGCAACCAGAGGAGTTGCCCCAGGTCTGCTGAATGTCAGTTAGTTTGGGATGAAACACAAATCTGTTGACAAATATGCACCATGTATACGCATAATATCGACCGACATATTAAAAAGGTAACAAAGGGGCAATCTAGCCATTTTGAAAAAAAATCCTTTATATGGGTTTAACTCCAAAAATAATGGATCCTACACTTCCCATAATGCAGTTGTCCTTTTTTTTCCTCCACAACCATGGAATTCTTTCTATTTTGACATGTTAAAATTGGTCGAATGCACATTCTAAACTTAATTTTGATTAGATTAGGTAAACATGCAGGAGCCCCATGGGGCCCTGGAGCCATCGCCCACTCTCTTGGTAATCCAGCCTGGGCTAACACGTTTTTTCCAAAAAATTTTCTTAAAAAACCACATACTAAGTAATACTTTGTGCTGATAACATTAGACCCAGCAGTATCTGGCCCACCCACGTAGCTGCGTGCTTGTTGACCAGTTTCACAGACAAGGATTAAACCTCGTCCTAGTCTAATGTCTTTGAGTGAACAATCTCATCAATGAAAAATCAATTACAGCTCAGGATTAGGATTACCTCACACTTGTTACACTGTAAATACCGCCTGTATATGCTTGTGTTTACAGTGGTTATCATCACCGAAGCCCCTTCCCAGTCTGTACACCAAAGGAAGCACACTGAAGAATCCCCCAGACCTAAAATCTCATTGCGTAAGTGTTGGATACTGACGTCATTGCTGTTGACCAAGACCTGTATTCTGCTTTAGTAGAGCCGGATTTTTCCAAGCAGCACACCTCCTCATATTCTCAGCAGCATAAAAAGTAGGGCATGTACAGTCGCTACCGCTGCTCCTGAATAATTTCTTGTCATGAGTGAAACCTCATTCACCACTCTGCCAAACAGGCCTCCTGAGCGTAAGACAGCATCGCTTGATCTTATTTGTTTCCTTTGATGCCAAAAGCTGTTCGGAGGCATTTGTCGGTTTAAATGACAACCCCCCCGGAAAAAAAAAAAGAACACTGCGGAATGATGTTTTTGGAATTTCAGTTTTCCAAAAATTCATTCTTCATAACAGCCTCCACTGCTGAGTACTTGAAATAAACAACCTTCCATTGCGACACACTACCAGCTGGGCTGGAGTAGCCTTTACAAAAAGCCTGGTTATCCAAGCCATATTGGTATATTCCAATTCAGCAGTCCCTTTTCATGTCGTTGTAAATATGTTATGATATAGCTGTCATACAGTATGCATCTGCTAATGCATTGCTTAAGCATGAGAACCACATCTGTACGCACACTTTGCAGTAACGCAAATGCTTTATGGGTACTGCCCTAAGTGGCAGAGTGAATACTATGTACTCATTCTTTTCTCCTTCCCGCAGCAGTAATTCCTCCCTTCTGGAAGGGCTTAATTAAAGGTCGCAGAGTGACCACATTCCATTTAGCCTCTGATTGGATGCCGAGTGCCTCCTTTAGAAAACCAAAGTCGCTGGTCAAAGGGAAGAGGTTCACCACTGGTATCCTGTTAGTATTATGATAGTAGTCTGCAGTAAACCAGTGTGTACATAACTGCGTTTCTTTTTGCTGCAATTGATGGTGGATGTTGTCACTGTACAATTTTTTTTTCATGAGTCTGGTTCATGCGTACAGGAACATGCATGTTTCTTTGTGTCGGATTGGGAAACCCATGAAAATCATATCCAAGGTGAAAGCGCACATGTAAAAGTCGCACAAATGCTAATGCTGTGTTCACACAAAACACTAAGCTGTATACCCAATCCAAAATAAACTGATTTTGCTGTGATTTAATCGCAATGAACACATCAAAATGATGCTGAAATAACAACATAATGATGCTGGTTTGCTAAAACTCTGACTTCATGCTCTGTCAGGTCTGTCCGCAAGGCGACAACCAAACAGCTTTTAAAATGTTACTTTTCTGAATGGAGTTTGGATGGATCAGGACTTGGCTTTGCTAACATTGGAGCTGCTCCATCAAGACTTCAAATTCTGCGTATTTGCATCTTTGCATTTAATCGCACAGTGCTGAAAGTGCACTTTGCATTTGGTGTGAAGGTATTCTCAAACTTCATTGTGTTGCAGCAAACTTTTTTTGCCCCTTCACAGTTGGCATAAATATGTATTCTTGCTTTCTTTAAAAGAAACCCACATTCACACCACACAGGGGACCACTCATTACAATATCGTTCTACAAAACCACCAGTGGTAACGACAAACAACACAATGTACTTTTAATTCTAAGGTAAAATAAAATATATACATCAAAGATCTTTCTGCATTTGTAATATCATTACTTTCATAGCAATCAGGAATGATAATTATAAGGGTTAAATACAATTATTTAAAATATTTAGTATTCTAAAAAGCCTTTAAAAAACGTTTGTGCAAGCAACTTTCTTTCTACAAGTATGTTATGTGTTTGGCTGTGTACATACACTGTGCTGGTCACTTTTCCACTAATTTAAGTATTGACACTAAATTAATATAAACATAAAGATTGTGGACATTGTTGTCTCTGATTTAGATTCAAATGAAATAGGATTAATGGCTAAAACCTTTGCTGGAATTTGTGAGAAGTCACCAGACCTAGATGTTTTCAATAATCAGCCTACAAATGCTAAAACAGCTTTAGGGAATGACTTTTAGTATATTGGTATCTTGTTGGAAAGCTGCACGCAGCTGTTTACCCTAAAAACCTATTACAGCCCACTTTGCTCTGCCTGCCCCGCACCTAAACATGACAAACAAAAGTTAGCAACAAGCTAGTGAACATAGTGGGATGTATTTTGCAGATATTTCCATCAGAAGTTGGTGAAGACAAAAAACAGAGCAAAAGATGGTCAATATTGGACTTCCATTCATCAGGTGACCAACAACACAACTCCGAGTCAACAATGATATTGCTGCTGGGGTCATGAATTAATCAACTGTTTGCTCACAAGTTGCTCACTATATCAATTTGTGTTTGTGGTAATGTGTGTTTATATGCGTTGGCTTCAGCCATTCAAATGGGGTATGCTTCCGTACGCGTGCTGGCGTGTTTGTGTATGAGAGTGCGGGTTCTGTGTCACTTCATGAAAGTGATTTTCTGCCCGAGTGGTTGTTTTCCCAAATGCTGGCGATGTCCTGTAATCCTGCAGGGCGCTCCAAGGGCTCCGGTGTAGCCGTCACTGCTAATCAAAGCCATTCATCAGCACCTCCGCAAAGACTCACACCAACACAGTTACTGTTCACACG